GCGCTGGCGGCGAAGGGGGGAGCAGCGTGCGGGACCCCCGCGGCCAGCGCCGCCCTGCACGCTCGGCCCCACGTGGACCTGGGGCCATCTTCTCCCTCAGAGCAAGCCTTGTCGCTCCCGATTCTGCTTTTCATGACTCAGCCCTTCCCCGGGGAACTTCAGCATGTGCAAAGGGGCATCTCATCCAACACAGTCTGTTTAGAAATTACGGGAGAATGCCAAAGACACATTTCCAGTGTGGAAATTCGGGCTAACTTCTTCCGCACAAGCCAACTGCAGGCTCGACGTACAGGCCATCCTTTCCCACAGAATCTTCCCTGGGGGCAATTCAGCAAATGCATGTCAGCTGAATGTTTCCCAGATCTTCTCCCGAAAATATTCAATGTTCTGCTGCTTCCAAGATTTTTTTAAAGAAATAATCAAAAGGCAATGGACATTCTTGCAACCAAAAGATACACGAGAATGATTTTTTAATTTCAAAAAAAAAGTTGTATTTCTCTGAAAAGTCTACTTCATTTGACAAAGAGGTGGGAAAAGAATCTTTTTAGCCTCAGAATACACACATGCATGTTAAATTTCTCAAATACTTCTTTCCCAGTGGTTTGGCTTACATAATTTCCTTTATAAAACTGACCTACTTTCACAATTGTTAGCACGAAAGAGTTTCAATTCACTAACGGCTACAGACTTTCATTTTACAAAAGCAACCATTGATGTTAAAGAAACGTTAAAGAAAAATGAGAAATTTGTAGATCCTGGCAGGCAAGTGCAGAATAGATAAACAAGACTGTACTGTGTAGCACAGGGAAATATATACAAGATCTCATGGTGGCTCACAGCGAAAAACAATGTGACAATGAATGTACGTATGTTCATGTATAACTGAGAAGTTGTGCTCTGCACTGGGAATTGACCCAACATTGTAAACTGACTCAAGAAAAAAAAATGAGCCCAGAGAATCAAGACACTTGAGATTAATAGAAATCTGTTTAAAAACATACACATTGAGCCCAGGTTCTCTGTCCCGCAAGGGACAGAATGAAGAGCTGTTGAATGAATCTGCTGTTTCCCACAGCAGGTCCTCTGAAGAGCTGACGCCTGAGCCGGGGAGGTGCAGGTGGAGCATCAGGAGACAGGGCGGGGCAGGAGGACCAAGGGATGCACCAGCGGCCCCTGAGATGCTCACCTGGACCACAGTGGGACCATTCTCCCCTTGGAACGCAGCAACTGCTGTGCAGAGGGGAGCTAAAGTTTACGTAAACTGTAAAGTCCATTGTGCAATGAGGGGGACGGGCCTGCCCCTCTCGAGAACAGTCTCCACGTTCAACTGCTGCTCGTGGTACGAGTTAGGAACTGTCACGACCTGCGCTTACCAATGCTTTGGATCCAGAAGGACTTGCCAGGAAAACCCTCGCCTGCAGCCCACGGCTGACGGAAGCCCGTGGCAGGGTTCCCAGTCCCCGTGAGCAGGACAAGGCCCGCGTCCCCGCCTCTGCCCTTCCTACAAAGTTCCCACAAAGCGAGCGACAGCCACGCAGCCTCTTCTCACCCTTTCTGATCCCATCCAGGAAAAGGCAGAGCCCTGGAGGGGGGCTGACCTGTGTTTGCTGAATCAGTGAGTGCCTGTCCTGCCCAGGGCACTGGCGAGGGAGGGAGCCCAGTGGAAGCTACGGGGCCATCCATCCTCAGCCCAGCAACAGCCTGGTCGTGGGACCCGGGGTCCACTAACGAGAAGACGGTCTCCAGAAAATGAATCAAAAATGCGAAATGAATAATAAAGGTGAAAATCATCTAAATGTACAGCAGCAGAATGGTTGGATTAACTATAACACATTGATTTAATGGCATGATAACTATTATAAGAAATGCCACAATTCAAAATAAGCAGGAGGTCCATGAATTTGGAAGCACATGTAGAATATTGCAAACAGAAAATAACACAAAGTTATATTATTTACGATCACAGACTTTATTTATTTTAATTTTCTTTCATGGTGGTTCAAAATGCAAAAGACTTAACCAATACACACTACTGTATACAATACAGGTAAACAACAAGGACCTGCCGTACAGCCCAGGGAACCATATTCAATATGTTGTAATAATCTATAACGGAAAAGAATCTGGAAGAGAAACATGTATACGTAACTGAATCACTTTGCAGTGATTGAAACATTGTAAACCAACTATACTTCAATTCAAAAAAGTTTTTTTAAACACAGATATGTGGAATACAGAGAGAGCTTCCCTGTTGCCTTGGCAACTGTTGCACCCGTACACCAAGAGCATCCCGCCTGGTCTGTGCGTACGTACCAGTCCACGGTAAGGATGAACCACAGAGTAGGTAGCAAGTCACCTAACGAGAGACATTTAAGTTGTTTCCAGAGTTTCGCTTTGCATGCAGTGAGGTCATTTTGCAGCAGTCTCTCTGTGGTGACTACACATAGAATTGCTCTTGTCATTTCCACAGAGGATGCCAATTCCACGTCTCAGATGTGGCACCAATTTAAACTCCCACCAGCAATATGTGAGGATGTCCTACTTTCCCACATCCACGTTGTCACAATTTTTTTTTGTCTCTGAAACTTCGGTGTAGTTTAATTTTTAATGTTACCCTGTCTTTGAACTTGAGACGTAACACGCATGCTGAAGCACGCACAGGGGGATGCACGCTCTTGCTTCTTTCCAGGCACCGCCCCCACCCCGTCCGGCCCACGTGGCCCTGTCCTGGGGCCTGGGGAAGGCATATGCTCAGCTTTAGGAGACACTGCCGAACAGCTCTCCCCCCGGTGGCACCAGTGCCTGCTCCCACGAGCAGCGTCTGGGGTTCAGTTGCTCTACACCCTTGCCAGCACTTGGCGTTGTCAATGTTTTTGTCGCTCTGCCAATTTTGCGGCTGCGTGTGGTCATATCATCTTGTAGCGTTTTTAAAAACAAATTTTTTTGAAGAAGTGTAGTTGATTTACAATGTTTCAGGTATACTGCAAAGTGATTCAGTTATATATATATATATATATTTCTTTTCCAGATTCCTTTCCATTATAGGATATTACAAGATATTGAATATAGTTCCCTGTGCTGTACAGTAGGTCCTTGCTGTTTATCTGTATTATATATAGTAGTGTGTATTTGTTAATCCCAATTTCTAAATTTATCCCTCCCCGCCTTTCCCCTTTGGTAACCATAAGTTTGCTTTCTATGTCTGTGAGTCTGTTTCTGTTCTGTGGTTTTAAATGCGTTGCCCTGATGACTAATGCAGTCAAGCACCTTTTCGTGTGCTGATGAGCATTTGGGTTTCCTGTTTGGGGAAGGGTCCATTTTTCTATTGTGTTTGTTGTCTTTTCTTATTGAATTGTAGGTGCTCTTTATATATTTTGGATGCAAGTCGTCTGTCAAATCTAAATTTTGCAAATACCTCCTCCCATTGTGTGGATTGGCTTGTCCCCCTCATAGTGTCATCTTTTGAGGAGCCGACATGCTTCAACTTCCCTGAGTCCCATTTGTCAGCTTTTCCCTCTGTGCACCTTCTGTGCCCTGTTTAAGGAATGGTTGCCTACTAAAAGGTCATGAGGATGTTCTTCTCTTGGTGTTCAAAGCTTTATTGCTTCTGCCTCTCACACCGAGAACTGCAGCTCATTTGCATTTCATCATGAGTAGAAAGCCGGTAAAGTCAAGATAAATTCATGCATGTGTATATATTTGAATAAGCACCCTGGAGGGGGGAAAGGTTTCCCCTTGTCCTGCGGTGTCCACGTTTGCATGAACCAAGCCACCATCTGTGCCTGTCTGTAGACTCTATTCTTCTGTCGCGTGGTCTGCCCTGCCCCAGTGTAGACACCACAGGATCCCAACCCTCCAGCTTTCTCACCCACCTTTCTCCCTGGTGGTGTCAGTGTTGCTGTTTTATTCCTTTTCCTTCCGGATCCCCTTGGCCTTTTGTTGGGCCCTTTGAATTTCTTATATTTTAGAATCAGTTTGTCAACTTCCACAGGAGAAAAGAGAGAAAAACAGCTTTTTTAAAATTTCAAGATGGCTCTAATAATTAGTCTTTTTTGGAGTGAGGTGGGGTCCCACTTCATACGCTTGGAAACTGTTTGTATTCCTTGTCTGAGAGCTCTTCACTAATATTTCTCACTTCTTTTCCTTTTTGGCTGTTTTTGTTGTTGTTGTTATCGGTTTATAGGAGTTCTTTATAGAGGAGGAAAATTAGTCCCTTGTCCACAATTTGAGCTGCAGATATTCTCCCAGTGTTTCATTTGTCTTTTGATTTGCCTTAGGCTGTGTGTGGTCCTCATTTTATTTGTGTGTGTGTGTGTCAATCTTTTTGCTTATGGTTTCTAGGTCTGTGTCTTTCTTAGAAAGCCAACAGATAAATAGTTAATTTAGAAAGAAAGCCCTTTCTCACCCCAGGATGATTGTCACGACTATTTTAAAACGCGTTCATCCTGAGAGCAGCTCTTACAACAGGATGATGGGACTCTGCAAATGTTTTTTTCTATCACGTGTCCCCTTTATCATTGTTCTGTGCTATCACCTATGGTGACATTATTTTAAAATTAATATCATGGTCAGAGCTTGGTATCAGTGTTTCTGGAATGTTCTAGAACTGCAACACAGGCCATGGGGTGAACCTTCCATGGCGTGAGTGAAGATAAGCCCCAAGACCCTTCACCTGCCCGGATCATTCACATATTAGAGGAACCTTAGTGGTGGAGAATTACCATGTTTTTCCCTAAATCTGACAAAGTAAGGCTCTAAGTTTACACCCGCTGACTCTTCATGTCCCACCCCGCCTTCCTCGAAGGCGCATCAGCAGTCTGAGTCGTAACTTTGTACACTTTATTGATCAAACCTGGACTCACCCACTCTGTCTATCCAGAAAGACTCGAGTAATTATTTTTCTTTTTTTTCTTTTTTTACTGAAGTACAGTCAGTTACAATGTGTCAACCGTGTGCAGCACAGTGTCCCAGTCATGCATATACACACATATATTCATTTTCACATTCTTTTTCCTTAAAAATAATTACAGGATATTTGAATATAGTTCCCTGTGCTATACAGGAAAAAAAATTTAATCTATTTTTATATACAATGATTAACATTTGCAAATCTCCAACACCCAAATTTATCCCTTCCTACCCTCTTTCCCCTGGTAACCGTAAGATTGTTTGCTGCGTCCGCAGGTCTGTTTCTGTTTGTAGATGAGTTCATTAGTGTCCT